GTTTGGGACTATGTTTTCCTCTTCCTAGGAGAGGAAATTCCTACAAATGCTCACCTAGCTCATTCCACGTCTCTCAACCCCTGGCTCATCTGTCACTTCTCTGCCACTTTGTCATAAATGGGAAGTGCCTATCCTCCTACTTCCAGCCTTCCTTGCTGGTTTAGTTAGGGTTTCTATTGCTGTGAAGAGACACCATGACCTCGGCAACTCTTATAAAGGAAAACACTTAATTAAGGTGGCTGTTTATGGTTTCAGAGGTCTAGTCCATTATCATCCTATTAGGGAGCATGGCAGCTGGGATATGGTGGCCTGCCAGCAGATATGGTGCTGGCTCCATCTTGATCAGAAGGCAACAGGAAGGGCACTCAAACACAGGGCAGTATCTTGGGTATAGGAAACCTCACACTCCAGTCCCAAGGTGACACATTTCCTCCAACAAGGCCACACCCACTCCAACAAAGCCACACCTCCTAATAGCACCACTCCCTAGGAGCTTATGGGGGCCAATGACATTCAAACTACAACACTTGCATTGGTCTTCCTGTAGATGGAGTTTTTCTGTGTTTTGCTTCCCAAATAACAAACACAGAATCTTAATATTACTTATATGTGCTTGACGGAGAGCTCAGGCTCATGACTAGCTAACTCTTACATTTAAATTAACCCCTATTTCTTATCTATGCTTTGCCACATGGCTTAGTACCTTTTTTTAGTAAGGCATTCCCATCTTGCTTCTCCCTGCATCTCCCAGTGACTCCCCTGGCTTGCCCTTCTTCAACCCAGCATCCTTAGTTTGGTCACCCCACCTATACTTCCTGATTGGCTACTGACTTTTATTAAACCAGTTTGAGTGACGAATCTTTATGGTGTACAAGAGGACTGATGATTCCACAGCATCTTCCCTTGTTTGCATACACGGATCCAGCCCCTTTTGGATATGTTGTTTGTGTTCTTGATAGTCTATCTCCCCTTAGTGCCGGGATTTCTCGACTGTATCATCCATCGTTAGCACCCAAAGGCTTAGGATGGCGTCTAGCTTCTAACAAACAGGTGCTCAGCAAATATTTGTCAAGTGGGTGCATTTGCAAAGCCAGAATTCAAAACCATGTCTATCTCTCATCCCGTGCTCTGAAGCGCCACGCACCCGGGCAACCAGAGGACTGAGGCAACAGCCGTGTCTAATGTTTTTCTCATGTGTCATTGTCCTTACAGCACCCCACCTCCCCAAATTCCAGGCTATCCATGCACTTCACAGTGCCTGCAGATGGCTACTGTGTGTGAGTGTATGATGTGCACACGCACACACCTGGCACCAGCTTTTGCTCCTTGGGAGCAGCAGACAGTCACAGCCTCATCACAGAGGAAATTCTTCCATTCCTAAGACTCCCTGTCACCCCGTTAGGCAAAGAGGTCTTGGACAAAGCCTGAAGGCCCTTCCTTTATATACTTGAGGGGGGAAGGTGTTGAAGCTTGCCTTATGGGCGTACTCCCAGGGAGACAGACCTTATGAAAAAGGAACTCTGTGCTGCCTGTGAGTACCTCGGTTAACTTTCAAGCTGCCAGTGCCTCCATCTTGCTGTTTATTTAAAGCAGGAATGCCTAGCCTCATTTCTGTCGTTAATGAATATGCAAAGGGAAGCATATCTTGGCTAAGGCCACAGGCAACCCAGGGCTGGATTGCTCAGGAGTGTCTTGTCCCCCACAAACAGGATCAGGGCTCTGATTTGTGACCTCCACATCTGTGGGGTACCTGATGTGGTGAGGAAAGTCTTGAAGAGCAAGGGGTGAAACACTGGAACAGGTACGTAAAAGAAGCCTCAAAATGCAGCTGGACTCGGAGGAGGCAAGGGCTGACCTGGAACACGTCGCCGGGCTGCTGGCACCACAACGAGCCTGCAGCTGTGGCAGCAGCATCTGGGGTTAGCCTGATGCGAAGATCACAGAGGAAAATCAGTCTCACTTCCTCCAGCACCCTCGTCCCTGAAGACTTGCCTGCTAGCTAAGGCGCCGGGGATCTGAACCGGCACTGGATCTGCTCTCGGTTTCCATGGCGACCACTTAAACTTTTCATCATCCTTCCTTCAGACCTTGGAGAAGAGCTATGCTCTCTGGTTCCCATGGCAACCACTTAAACGGGTATCCTTGTCTGGCTCTATTGGAAGAGAGTCGCTAGAGTTCATGCAAATGAACTTGGATTACTCTCTTTTTACTTGGGAAATAAAATAAAATTCAAATAAAGTGCCACACCTGCTCAGAAGTTTCAGAACTGGCTTCAAAACGAAGGGTGAGCAACAAACCTGTCAAGCTGCTGTTTGAGGCGGGTGCACCGTGTCTCTTTGACTCTTAAAAGTGCTCACCCAGAGCCTCTGGTTAGTTCTGCCATCTTACAAGGGGGGAGGGGTAGACAGCTTCTCCACCCAGTGCAGGCTTTCACTATTATGGAGGGACACACACGACCCTCATCTTAGTTCTCTGTTAATATATCACCAAAGGTGGCCCCAGATTTGGTGACAGCCGTGAATCATATGAAGATCATATACAAGCTGCCCAGTGCTTCTCCGAGTTCTCTCGCAGGACTCCCAGAATGGATGGCTGGCATTCTCAACTTTGAGGCTTTGGGCCAGGAGAAATAAACGAGCTCCAGAGAAGTGAGGAGGAAAATGGAGGATGCCCTGTCTACATGTTTAGACACATCTCTGAACTCCATTGTGGGGGTGTTTTCCCAAACTAGAGATGCCAAGAGGCAGAACAGCGATAACATTGAAAACGACAGGTTTCCACCACAGAGACTTCCCGGTTCTCCTGAGGACTCAGCCTGTGGCAGAGTCGAACCTGAGCACGGTCTGCTGAGAGGAGCGGTCCATGCCCTTGAAGACGGAGCCTGCGTTAGACCGATGGAGCTTGAGAATGGCACATCCTTCTTCCTGATTCTTGGGAAAGTGTTGACCTTGTAAGCCATAGTAACGGACACAACACACAGGCAGCCTAACCCTAGCCCAACGGAGTCACCAGCAATGAGTGAGGAGCTGAATGTTATTCTCCAGCCTTCTTTCCCCAAAGGTCTTCTGAGTCACGTGGAACACAGCAGAGATGAAGGGGAATCCAGGTTGCAGGGAGCGGGGACCCTGCTGAGTGTATTGAGGACCATCTTTCTTCATCCTCAGGTCAGAGCCGGGCTGGAAACCCACAGGAGGACATTGATGCCACCATTTGGAACCTATTGTTGAAGAGATTCTTATATCAACCAATCATCCAGATGAACGTATCTGTCCAAGTCAGTGTAGGAAACAATCGCCCAGTTTCCTGATGGAGCCAATGGACACTCAGCGCACTACAGTGTAGCTTCAGACAGTCCTGAGCTCTGTGCTTCCTTCTGCCATTTTCGTTGTAATTTTTTAATTAGTTTTTATGTATGTGGGTGTTTTGTCTACCTAGTGTATGTGCACCATGTTCCTTCCATGTCCTGTGGAGGTCGGAGAGGGCATCAGAGTCCTGGAACTGGAGCTCCAGATGATCGTGAGCCACTGTCTTAGTTAGGGTTTCTATCGCTGCAGAAAGGCACCACCACCACAGCAACTCTTACAAAGGGAGACAGTTAATTGAGGTGGCGGCTTAAAGTTTCAGAGGGTCAGTCCCTTATCATCACTGTGGGACATGGCAGTGTGCAGACAGACTCTGCTCCATGTGGATATGGAGAGTAGACTGTCACACTGAACAGAACTTGAGCAAAAGATAGCTCAAAGCCCAACCCCACAGTGACACACTTCCTCCAACAAGGCCACGCCCACTTCAACAAGGCCACAACTCCTAAGAGTGCCACTCCTTTTAGGAGCCATTTTTTTTTTTCAAACTGCCATATTCCACTCCTTGGTCCCCAAAGGCACGTAGCCATATCATAATGCAAAAACACATTCAGTTCAACCTCAAAAGTCCCCACAATCTATGCGAGTCTCAAACTTAATTTAAAAGTCTAAAGTTCAAAGTCTCTTCTGAGATTCATGTAATCTCTTAACTGATCACCTGTAAAAATCAAAATCAAAAAACAGATCACATGCTTCCAACATATAATGGCACGGGATATACATTACCATTCCAAAACGTAGGGAGCAGCCGGGTGGTGGTGGCGCACGCCTTTAATCCCAGCACTCGGGAGGCAGAGGCAGGCGGATCTCTGTGAGTTCGAGACCAGCCTGGTCTACAAGAGCTAGTTCCAGGACAGGCTCCAAAACCACAGAGAAACCCTGTCTCGAAAAAAAAAAAAAAAAACAAAAAAAAAAACCAAAACGTAGGGAGCAGAGGATAAAGAGGAAATTTTGGAGCAAAGCAAGACCAAAATCCAGCAGGGCAAATCCCAGACTCTGCATCCCCATGTCTGATGTCAAAACGCTCTTCAGCTCTCCAACTCCATTCAGCTTTGTTTGACTGCAGCACGCTTCTTTCGCTCGGGCTGGTTCCACTCCCTGTTAGCGGCACTTGTTGGTAGGTATACCATGGCTCTGGCATCCCCCAACATCTTGGGGTCCCCAAGGCAACGTGGGTGCTGGGAATCATACTCTGGTCATCTGGAAGAGCAGCCAGTGCTCTTAGGTGCTGAGCCATCTTTCAGGAGTTTTCTGGATGGCAGGTGTTCTCTGCTTTCTTGATAAGATGAGGTGGGGATGGGTGTGCTTGCGTCACTGAATTTCTGAAAGACTCAAATAAAAGCATCGCTGGCGAGGCAGTGCCGCGGGCAATGAAAGCCTAGAAGGCAAATGGCCTTCATGCTACCTCTGCCATCCCAGCTGTGTTTCATGTCCCTTTTTAGAAAAGTGAGAAGAGTCTTTTGTTACTCAGCGTCACCTTTATTTTCAGGCTGTCTGGAATTTAACCATGGGGATGAAAGAAAATACCAGCGTCGTTACTGAGAACAAGTCTAGGGCCTTAACAAAAACAGCAGGCTGTCAGGGAATTGAGCGATTGCATTAAGAGACTGTGTCTTGTTTTCCTGTGAATATTTTTAGGGTTCGCTATGGGAGCGACAAACGTGAAGAAAAAACTAGAAGAAATAAGGAATGTCGGGAAGACTGTCAAGAAGGGGGAAAGCTCAGCATCGCTCGCTGTGCCCCGAAGGCGGGCAGAATGCCATCACACTGTGTTCAGCATCCATAAGGGAGTCAAGGCATTCTCCTTCTGTAGGGAAAAAAACCTGCTGGTGACGGCAGGGATGGATCGACTCGTCAGGGTCTGGAATCCTTATCTGCCTGGGTAAGTTGTCTTTCTCCTATCAAGAGTACCCCTGGTGTCGCCAAGTAAATGGGAATGTGACTGGGGGTTCCATGTGAGGATCTCTGAAAAGTCCCTGTCCAAAATTAGTCTCTCCACACAGCCTGGGATGTTTCTGCTTCTAAACCTCTAAAAGTTCACTACAGAGGCTACTAGAAAGATGGCTCAGTGGTTAAGAGCAGTGGCTACTTGTCCGGAGGACCCGGGGTTCTATTCCTAGTACACACATGATTGCTCAAAATCATCTAAAAAAAAGTCCCATGGGATCCAGCTTCCTCTTCTGGTCTTCACATACATGGTGCACAGATACACGTGCAAGTAAAACATCCACATGCGAAAGAATGTTTTTTTTTAAAGATTTATTTATTGTTTACAGTGTTTCTGTCTGTCTGTATGCTTGCTGGCCAGAAGAGGGCACCAGATATCATTACAGATGGCTGTGAGCCACCATGTGGTTGCTGGGAATTGAACTCAGGACCTCTGGAAGAGCAGGCAAAGCTCTTAACCTCTGAGCCATCTTTCCAGGCCCATGCGAAAAAATATTTAAAATTTTTTGATTGTAACTGTTATGAAATATAAATCCCATCAGGACACAGTGGCCATTCATATAATGGCAGCACTTTGGAAAGTGAATCATGACTTCAAGGTTAAGGCCAGCCTGGGCTACATAGAGAGACTGTGTCTCAAACAAAACAAAACAAAACAAAACAAATGTAAATACTTTCCAATGACACAGAGACTACGAGATGTCATTTACCTGTATCTCAGTGTGACTCCCCCCTGTCTGACAGCATCAAGCCTTTAAGGGACCATGATCAGCTGCAGAGTAACTGAAGTTTTTACATGCAATGAGTGCAAGCTTAGTGTGGCCTCACAGCAGTGGCCCGGTGTCCTCCTGACTGCACGGGCTTTAGTCCCATGAGATTGAATAGCTCTATCATGCCTCTGTAACCATACAGAGTTAACGTAAGAGAACAGATGTAATTGACATGACAGAAAGCCACAGCTGGTCTGTAAGGAGCTGGGGTTGGGTCCACTAACTGTCCATGGCTATCACCCTCTCAGTGGGACACTGTCGTATGCTCTGGGCCAGGCCTGCCCTGCACACAGTAGGCCCTTCTGAGCAGGCCCTCAGAAACACTCCAGTTTTTCATTTACTTTATTATTTTCATATGTGTGCGGTATGAGCTCCTGCGTATGCTTTTTGGCGTGTCTCTTGCGAGTGCTCGTGCACGTGTGTGTGGTCACCTGAGGCTGACACTGAGACTTGTGCTGGCTTAGATTTTTGTCACCTCGACATAAACTAGAGTCACCTGAGGAAAAAGAACCTCGGTCAAGAAAATGCCTCCATCCGTGATGGAGTGCGTGACCTGGGAGCTGTAAGCCCAAATAAACCCTTTCCTCCCCAAGTTGCTTTTGGTTGCCAATGCTTATCACAGCATCAGAAAGCCAAGACAAGGGTCTTCTCTTCGGTCTCCCTCTACTTTCTTCATCGCAGCACAGTCTCTCAGTCAAGCCCAGAGTTTGTGGTTGCCACTGGTCCAGCTAACCAGATTGTTTGGGGGGATCCTCTGTCTCTGCCTTCTTAGCGCTGGAACTACAAGCAGGCTACCACTTCCAACCAACATTTCTGTGGGTTCTGGGGATCTGAACTCCATTAGTCATGCCTTGCTGCTTCCACTGAGCCATCTCCCTAGTTCTACCTTCTTGATTGTATATTGAGATCTACTGTGTAGTGTAACTCTGTAATCCATCCAGCATCTGTCCTTGCTGGCCCTTGCATAGAGTCCACTGATCAACGAAGCTCCCAGAGCCCGGAGAAGGAAGGACAGGGTCAGAGTCCCACAGGCAGGCCTGTCATTTCCCAGAGACATGCTGCGAACAGGGGGTGGGAAGTAGGGTACCTACTTGACCTTTGAGTTCGGGTAAGCACAAATCACATCGGCTATGCCCGGGTTGCTGTCTGGGTCACTCTCTTTGGCATCTGTGGAGACCCACAAGGTGACCCGGTTCCCATCCATGGCACAGGTAATAACCAGGACTGTAAGGCGCAGTGGGTAAGCATATTGAATCTGACTGTGCCTCTTGTGACTCCCCAGCCAGGAGCTTCTCTTAACCACCTGCAACAGACTCAATTTTCCAATGTATGATGGTGACAAGATGCTCACCCTCTGGGGTAATAACAAAGACTAAAAAAACAATAACAAGGCTGAGAGCAATGCGAGAGACATAATAAAAATGAAAGGCAGGTTTCTGCCTGCTTCTGTTACAGTTAGAAGCAGGTATGCGCTCTCTGCCTTAGCCTCAGCCAGGCTTCTTTTCTCTCCATCTCTTGACCCTCCCGGAGGACCCAGCCACGATGTCCCGCAAGGTTGCTTTAAAATAGCTTTCTATTGCAGAGCCCAGATTTGAACGCTGTTCCCTCGGGCCGGCCTGTAGAAAGCGCCCATGTGTCCCGGCATCCATGGCAGCCCACCTCAGACCCTTCCTTGCCTGTTCCTTTTATGCAGCTGTTGTTAACAGCTGGAGAAGCAGAGCCCCAGGCTTCTGCTCACTCTGAGGTCTGTTGCTAAAACCGCTTATTATTTTGCCTCAGTCCTTTTATTACACGAAATATATACTTGTGTAATATCAGAGGGAAGCAGAAGCCTCCTCCAGGCTGAATAGAACTGCCAGATCCAGGCCAAGCTGAGTTGCATTTTAAAAAGAGAAACAGAAACAGCAGAAAGAATGGCTTTGTGCTCATTTGTTCTTTTCTTTCTAGAAAACCAACAGGTGTGCTGAGAGGCCACACGGCTCCTGTGGTGTATGTGCACATATCTTTGGAAGAAAGCAAAGTGTTTTCCATGTCCACTGACAACACTGTCAAGGTCTGTCCCTCCCCCGCTTTGATACATGCATCCTTCAGGCAGGTTTTATTCATTTGTTCGTTTGCTTGCTTGCTTATTTTTGAAATATGGTCTCCCACTGTAGTCCAGAATGGCCTGGAACTCTCCCTGTCTTAACCTCCCAAGCAATTTGCTCATCTTCATCTTTGGCAATGTGAGGGGCTCTGCCTTGGCAAAGGTTCATGCAGGGTTTCGATGTGTGTATTTGCTTCAGGAGCGGTGTGTATATATGCGTGTGTCTCTGTGTACCAACATAAGTGTCTGTGTGTGTCCCTGTGCATGTGTATGTTTCTGTGTATATATGCATGTACATGTGTGTGTTTGGGTATTTGTGGATGTGTGTCTGTGTCTGAGTCTGTGCACATGTGCACAGCAGTTGATTGTCGTAAACTCTCCGTGTCGGTGCTTGGGGCCATATGTATCCCTTCCAGCATGTGGGCCCTGCCTGTACACAGCCCAGAGAGCTCCTTGTCCCAATCATTTCCCCAGGTGTCTGGAAGCTAGATAAGTAGAACTGGGAATTCGGCCCTGGCCATCAGTGGCTAGCTCTTATTTTGCAATACACACCAGACATGTGCCTTCCTGAAATGCTACCCAGGAGCCTCAGAACTTAAACATTTCTGACCTAGATGGAGGCAGTGACATCATGGTTTGGCTTTGTTTGCCTTCATATACTGAACATCCTGTCTACGCCTAAGACTCAGCGTACGCCCTGACCTCTGCAGTGTGCTGGGTGTTTTTTGTTGTTGTTGTTTTGTTTTGATTTTAATGCAAAAAGCAGTCTGACTGGCTCCTTTCCTCCATCATTACTCTTGTTTCTTCCGAGGATAAGACCGAGCTTCACAGCCCATCTGCCTACTGGGCTGTTGGGGGCCACAGGGTAGGAATTTGGACTAAATTATAGGAGGTGGGGGATCCTGTTCAGAGAGAGAGAGAAAGGGAGGGGGAGAGAGAGGAAGAGGGAGAGTGGGGGGAGGAATGGAGGGAGGGAGGGAGGGAGGCGAAGAGGGAGAGAGAGAGAGAGAGAGAGAGGAATAGTTTCATGACCTTGAGTTAGGCATTAGTTTCTAAGAAATGACACCAGAAGTTCAAGAAACAAAAGAAATTAGATTAGGTTTTGTCAAAATTAGAAACATCTGTACTTCATAGGGCATCATTAATATGAGAAATAGATTAACTGACACAATGGAGGGGATATTGCAAACCATATGCTGATAAGGAATTTGCATCAAGAATATAAAGAACTTTCAGTGCCTAATAACAAAAATACTGATAGCCAATTGAAACATGGACAGAAGATTTGAGAAGACACTTCCTCAAAAGTGGCCAATCATGGCATACGGTGCTCAGCACCATAGTTATAGGGAAATAAAAACCAAAATCCCAATAAGATATCACTTCACACTCATGAGGATAGGTAAAACTAAAAAAAATAGCAGAGGACGATATGGTATACTGACAGAATGAGAAGAAATTGAAACTTCTATCTATTGGTATCAAAAAATGCCATTTAAAAAAATCATCTTATCAGTTCTTGAGTGGTAAATAGTTAACATATGACTCAGAGCTCCCACCCCAAGAGAACTAAAAACATGCATTCCTCAAGAATGTCCTTATCAGTGCATATAATAGCTTTATTTGTCATAGTTAAAAGGTAGATGCAACTCAAGTGTCCAGCAACTAATAAATGGTAAAAAATAAAATAAAAGCAGTGCGTGTGAGAACAAAAGAACGAATCCCTGTCCACGTTCTGACCTGGGTGAACCTGAGAGGCGTGATGTTAGGTAAAAGTCATCAAAGCCACACATTGTCTTGCTTCTTCCCCTTGTATGAAACATCCAGAAGAAACCAGGACAGAATATAGAATGGTTGACAATGGGCATGGGGGTCCTAAAGGGGCTGATGGGATGCCCTGGCTGTGCCCTGGTCATGGCTCTGAAACTCGGTGACTGTGCTGAAATCCCCTGAATTGAACGTTCAAAGTGTGAATTTTGTGATATGCGAGTCACATTTCAATAGAGAAGTTTTTAAGGGAGTGAGGCCAGAGAAGACTCAAGGGTGACACCAAGATTTGGAATCTAAGCCAAACTCAGAGACAGGGAATGTGGCAAACAGGGGGCCTTAAGACCAGGAGCACGGCTTTGATTGTGTTGGACAGGGTCAGCCCGAGATTAGGGGTGTGGCCAGGACTGGTGGTATAAAATGGGGCGTTGTTAGCGGTTAGATAGACTCTTCAGCTCTGGACTGAACAAGAGGACAACAAGAGGAAGAGGAAGAGCGAGCAGAGAGAGCAAAAGTCTGCCAAAGATATGTGCCAGGCCAGAGATGTGGTCCGAGATGGCCCCCACACAGTGAGCAGGGTCCATCCAGCAGAGAGACAGGAAGTGGGTCTTCACACAACGAGGTGTGGAGACTACAGCCAGTGCTATCACTGGGGCCCGATGGCAAGCAATTCAGTTCTCTGAGCAAACTTGATTAAAATGAGGAGATTTATGAAATCCACTGTTTGATTTATTTTGGAAATCAAATTCACCTGAAGGCTTCGTCCAAAGTCCCCGTGTGGAGGACTCGGAGTTTTTAATGAGCTTTTCTTTCTCCCCGTTGACTTTTGCGGCTCTTAGAGAATCATAATTTTGTATGTGGGGACATGTCTTCCGTCCTATTTTCTTTCCCCATCGCCTCTCCGTTTTCTTCCAATCTCAACTTGTGATTACAAGATTAGCATCTCGCCGGTGATGAGTCAGGCATATTGAATAGCTTCCCAATGTGTGTTTAAAATACATTGAAATCCCATCTTGGAAATATGGTGCGTGAGTTATTTCAGACTGCACTATTCCTATCGAATAACAGCTAATCAACTAGGCGCCAAATAGCTCGAATCCCAGCATGCCTGAGCACATAGTCTTCATTCTTTGAATTATTTTTCAGCCCAAATATTTTACTCCTCCAAATCATGGGGACATACAGACATTTCAGGAGGCTGCTGGCTTCTGGCATTCTCTAACGGGGAATGAAGTGACAGATTCAGATTGCCTTTTTCACTTGGAAGTCTCTATACATGTGACGTCACGAGCCACACACAGGGCTGTCGTTCATCAACTGGAATTAGAATTCAGGGAAAGTTAATTTTTCTAAGGAAGGCAGCATGGCATGCTAGCTAGTATAACACGGAAAGCTCTCTTAAGCACATGCCAGGTTTTCTTCAGGCTAAGATAATAGGTTTCTTTCTGTCCGTTTTAACCCAGCACCAGCGATTCTATAAGCAACCGCTCCCATTTGAGGGCTGGCATCTCTCCAGTCAGGGGCCCCGCCTCTTCATCCAATGTCAAGAGGCAGGTAGATAAAGAGGGACCCGCCGCCTGCAACTTCAACCACTCTTCTCACAGTCCATGCCAAGTTCACGGCCGCGATGGGCGAGTGGGCAGTGGCGCATGTCTGAGTCGGCCACCCTCCTGCCAGCAACAATTCTGCAAATGGACGAAGATGTGTGGATTTGGGAGTAGGCAGGTGACAGAAAGCTTTGGAGACAACTCAGAAATCACAAGCCAGGTACTTGGGGCGACGCACTCAGTCCTCCTGAAATGACTTCGTTCTGGAGAGGTTTACTCCTTCCCCAAGACGGGAGAAAGACCCAGCATGTAGAGTAATTGTCCTTCTGAAAAGCCACGCATAGACTGGGCTCAGTGCACCGTGGTTTACTCTGTGAGACTGATGTCAGCCGAGGAGCCATGGGTAGAAGTCAGTAGGGTGTGAGCCATGGAGGACTTGGCCGCAGAACTCGTCCCTGGGTGGCCGGGTGAAGCAGCAGGAGATGCTGACCTCCTGCTGAGGTCCTGCTCACCGCAGAGAGCTGTTCTCCTTCAAATGTCCCCTGTGCTCACAGTGGCTGTTTTCAGTTGGGGAATTCGATGCCAATTCGATGACTCAGTCTATATGTCTACGGAACAAGTGTGTCCGCACCTTTCCTTCATGGGTCTTAGGCACCCACTCATCCTACCTGAAATGACTTTTCCCAGATTCCAGAATTCCCTTTGTCCCCCTTGGGAACCATTTCCTAGCACTATAACAAAATACCCGAGAGACAAACCAATTTACCAAAGAGCCTAGGTTAGTTTAGTTCATGGTTCTAAGGCTAGGAAACCCAAGAGCAAGACACTGGCCTCTAATTGGGGTCTTCTTTCTGTGTCAGTATTATAAGAGGCTGCACATGGTCAGGCAGAGCAAACATGCTAGCTTGGGTCTCTCTCTTTACTTTTCAATACAGTTTAGGTGCCCAGCCGGGAGCCCATGGTCCTGCACATGCTAGGCAGGTACCACCAAGCTATACCCCCTAGTTCTGCCTTTCTCTTCTCATGGAGCCACTAACTCCATCATGGGAGCCCTATCCTCATGACCTCACCGAATCCCAGTTGCCTACCTTTAGATACTGTTAACATATAAACTTAGGGGCTGAGCTTGCAGTAGAGATTTTGGGAAGCGTGTTCAAATCATGGCACCTCGGGCCAGAAAGTGAGAAGAGATCAGTGAGCCAAGTCTTCAGGCAACAGGGGAGCTTGTAAAAACTGTGCGGGTCAACTTTCCAGCCAGCAAGGTGAGAGAGGGGAGGGGCTGCCCCTTCTGCAAGCGACTCTTGGGATCGCCCTTTCCACGGGATGTCAATGCTGGGGCCCACGCTGACTTCACAGGCGTCACAGACCCACACGGATCCAGGCACGACCAGTTTCGACCAGTTTGCTAAGAGCTCAGAGAGCGAATGGAAAATAAGCAGAGAGCAGATGCAAAGGATTAGAGTGCAGCTTACAAGACAAAGACTTCAAAGGGCTAGCGTTTGGCAACTGAGCCAAGGAGAAGACAAAGCTCTGCCCTGCCCAGGCTCATGAGTTCACTCTTGTTAGATTTTCCCATCTTGGCTACTTCTTAGCCTGTAAATTCAGAACTTCTCTTGGAGCCAACGGATAACATCTGCCTCCCAAAGCTGGCTTACAAAGCACTAGTTTGAGGCTGGAGAGATGGCTCAGTGGTTAGGAACATGTGTTGTTCATGCAGAGGATCTGAGTTCATTTCCCAGCATCCACATCAGGCAGCTTACAATGGCTTGTAACTTGAGCTCCAGGTGGTGCCCCTAACCCAGGAACATGCACACACATAGACATACGTACATGTTCATGTAGAGGCCTAGTTACCTGCACAGAACTATTGGGAGGTGGTGGAAACTCTAAGAAGTGGGGCCTAGTGGGAGCTCTTCAGGCTGTTGGGAGCCTGGTCTGGAAGGGGACACTGAGACCTTGTCCCCCTCCTTGTTCTCTTGCTACCTGGCCGTAGGGTGAGCAGGTCTCTGTGCCCTTCCCCATCTCCTGTGCCCCTGCCAATGAAGCACTGCTTTGCTGCAGGCCTAAAAGCAGCAAGGCAACCGAGACTATGGATTGGATTTTCTGGACATATGAGTCAAAAGAGACCCTTCTGTAGTGATATTTTGTTTACGATCTAACAAATAAAGCTTGCCTGAAGATCAGAGTGCGGAGCTAAGCCACTAATTAGCCAAGAGGCCAGGAAGTGGTGGCACACACCTTTAATCCTAACACTCAGAAGAAAGAGGCAAATGGATCTCTGTGAGTTCAAGGCCACCCTGGGCTACATGAAATTGAATCTGTCTAACCGAGAAATAAAGCCCGCACAAAGGTGATCCCAGCACTTGGGGTCACACACCTTTAATCCCAGAACTAGGGAGGTGGAGACAGGAGGAATATGGCTGGGAGAGAGGACTACAACATGAGAGGAGGCAAGAGCTCAGTCTGAGGATTCCGTCTGAGATGCAGTCTTGAGGCTTCATAGAGACAGCAGCAGTCTGAGGATTTGTAGAGACAGGATCGCCCCTTTTGTCTGAGCATCGGTAGAGGTAAGAACTCTCTAGTGGTTTGCTGCTCTGCTCCTCTGATCTTTCAGCATTAACCCCTATATCTGACTCTGAGTTTTTATTAAGATCAATTGGAATCCGTGCTGCACCTTTCCTCTATCTGAGGTTAGGTGTTCATAATAGGGATGGAAAAGCTGACTCACACAGGAACCATAGCAAAGCACCAGAGGCAGAGTGGGTTAAATAACAGAAATGTACCAGCGTATGCTATCATTTATAAAAGGGGGTGTGCAGTCGCCTGGCAGGTGGGAGACTGCACAGGGGCAGTGGTGGGTGACCCGAGGCCTCAGTGGATCCCCTGGTGGGTGGGAGACTGCGGCGGGTAGGAGACAGACAGATACACCATGCAGAGAGAGTTGGGGTATAGAGTTTATTTAGTGGGTTATGGAGGGAGAAGGGAAGGACATAAGTGGGGGAAGGGGAGAGGAGAGAAAAAGGCAGAAGCTGCCTCTCCAGAAGAAGGGCAGACAGACAGACAGACAGAGAGGATTGGAGAGTAGATGGGAGATCCGCTTGCTCGGTGGAAGGGCAGGGGATGTTGGGAGTGGGTGAAGCTTGTCTCTTAAAGGGACAGGGTACCCAGGTGACAGACCAAGTTAACAGATTATAATAGCTTTTAGTTTGAAGGCTAAGAGCCCGAGATCAAGGTGTTGGGCGGGATGGGTCCTTTGGAGGCCTGTGAAAGTGGGTTGGACCCAGGCTCCTGACTACCTCCTGGCAGTCTTCTGGCAATCCTGGTATTCGTAGGTTGTGGATGTACTGCCCCAATCTCTCCCATCATCTTCATGTGCTGTCTTCCCATTGTGTGTCTCTCTCCTGCTCTTGCAAAGTCACCCATTGTATTGGAGTCCAGCCTGCTCCCGGATGGCCTCATCCTCATCCACTTCTTGTAGCTCAACAACCCATTTCCAATTGGAGCCCCATCCTGAGTAACTGGGATTATTTGCCATTTGCAGGGAGGTTAGCCATTTACCCATAACAACAGGTGAAGGAAACCAGGACTCAAAGCGGTTGACACACTGTGGGTGCCTGTCAGCTCACAGGGCAACAATTGCCTCTCTGATGGTCGTGGTCTCCCCAGTTTTGTGTTTGGCCCAGCCATGTGGCCCTCACCATCTCACAGTCTGCTAACGGAATGCCAGCGCCATGGCATAATTTACAAGCATAACAGTGACTGAGAGCAATATTATTCTAGCCATGTTATACCAATACAATATTTTACTCAATTCTCTAAACACTCTTCTTTAGTCAAGTTTCTTAATTTCTCTAAGCAACACTACAAAACAGGCAGCATTTTGTCTCTCTGTTTTACAAGCAATACTGAGTGGAAGAGTTAGGAAATTGTGTGAGGCTACCCAGGCACTGGGGGGACCACTTGGTTTCCAGCACAGGTAAATGAATTCTGGGCTGTCGCGTCCTCAAACAACAGCCACACAGGAGTCTGTTCCGTGTATCCTCCAAATATCTGCCCAATGACTGGGTTGGTGGTGTATTCTTGTATTCAGAACTGGGCACAGAGGACTGGAGAGATGGCTCAGTGGTTAAGAGCACTGGCTGCTCTTCCAGAGGACCTGGGTTCAATTCTTCAATTCCCAGAACTTACATGGCAGCTCACAACTGCCTGTAACTCCAGTTGCAGGGAACCTGACACCCTCATATAGGCAAAACACCAATGCACATTTTTAAAAAAAGAAAGAAAGAGAAAGAAAGAAAGAGAGAGAGAGGGGAGGGAGGGAGGGAGGGAGGGAGGGAGAGAGAGAGAGAGAGAGAGAGAGAGAGAGAGAGAGAGAGAGAGAGAGAGAGAGAACTGAGAACAGGTTTGGTTACTACGGTACCACAAATGAGACCCATGGCATCAGAGCCTCCTGAAAGCTGGGTCCATGGAGAAGGGGGTGACTGGTCATGTCCTTATGGGAAGAATAGAGCCTCGAGACTCATGGTCAAAGTGGTCCCTTCTCTCTGATCACCTTTCACACTCCCATGATTGAGGGGGAACCAGAACTGTAGGCCTCACTGTCTTCTCCACAACGGTGGAGACGGACTCCTGCCAGCATTTTGACTTTTGGCAGGGGTGGACATGGGGTAGAGGTTCAGCTTGGCCAAGTCAAGCCGGACCCCACAGCAGGCAACAGCTGCGGAAGCACAGCAGATGGGCAAAGCGTAGCACTAGCTGAGCGTGTGACACACACAGGCCTTAGAGTCCGAGGCCAGCCTGGGCTATACAGGGAGATCCTAGATAGGAAAAAGAAGAAAACCTCTTTCTCTCCCCCATCTCCTCCACAGATCTGGGATCTGGAGACCCATGGCTGCTGCTTTACGGCCTCTTCCAAAGCCAGTGGCATCAAGGGAGAACTCTCGGCCTGCCTCTACCTCCCTGGACCTAGAACCCTGTGCGTGGCCACAGATGCCCTGGCTTTTCTTCATCTGAAAGTGGGGTATGAACTCTCTGTCCTCTGGGCTTTGTTTGCAGAATGTTCTAGAGGGTGCTAGAATTCCAGTGGCATGGTCAGTGTTCTACTCAGTGCTCTACCATTCAGGTCCCAGGCTCTGAGCCTGCACCCTGGGCCTCTGGCCTTTAGCTTATGTTTGGTGAGGCCCTTTGAACTCCCACACTGGAGTAACCTGGACTATCCAGAAGTGACTTTGCCCTGGGCCTATCCCACTCACCAGCCTTAAGTGTACAGGACATAAAGATTCATTAGAGGAGGGCAAAAGACAGAAGCTGAGCAGACAGAGACCTGGGAGTCTGGTATTCCCATCTTAGACCCTCCTATTTATAAAACAAGCCAGTCATACAGGGAGTACACACCCAAGTGACAAGTCAGGACTGGAATGGAGACCTCGGAGGATTCCCTTCCCCGGTGCCTGAGCCGGTACTGAGTCTCCTGGATTCCACATGTGTTCTAGTTTCCTTGACACCCAAAACTCCACCCCAACCCCCAGCTCTAGTGTCATTGCCCCTTGACAAAGAATCTAGTGGCCACTTACCTCTGGGGGAGGGCAGTCTTCTGGCTTCTCCCTGCTCCTACACCCTGATGAGATGAATCAAAGGAGAAACGAAACCCTATGTTAAAAAACAAAACAAGGGGCTAGAGAGATGGCTCAGAGGTTAAGAGCACTGATTGCTCTTCCAGAGGTCCTGAGTTCAATTACCAGCAACCACATGGTGGCTCACAGCCATCTGTAATGGGATCTGGTGCCCTCTTCTGGCATACAAACATACATGGAAGGAATGTTGTATACATAATAAATAAATAAATCTTAAAAAAAAAAACAAGGAAAAACAACACATATAGACGTAGAGACACACAGATTGGCTCACACAAAAATTCTAGAAACAAACAAAAAATGGAAACTATAAAATAAAAACAAAAGACCTGCAGGGTAAGAAAAAAGAAAGAAAAATGCCCAGACAAAGCATTGTGGGACAGAGACGCCACTGAGTTTGTTTTGGGTTGGACATGGACAGGACCTGGCCTGAACAGTGGTTCATATACCAAGTGAAACTCCTTTAGAGAAAACTAAGTTTTCATTTGGTTATCAATCAGAAATAGCTCCTGGGTTAGGGATGTGGGCTCAGCGCTGGGATCCCGTCAGGTCCTGTGCAGGCTGCCACAGTCTCTGTGAATCCTACAGAGTCCTGGTGTGCTTTGAAGGCCTTATTTACTGCCGGTTCTCCATCCCCTCCAGTTCCTCTTCCACAGGACTCCTTGAGCTGTGAGAGGAGGGATTTGATGAGACATCTCATTTAGGGGTGTTCCAAGGCCTCTCTCTCTCGGCACACTGTCCAGCTGTGGCCCCCGTATTTATTCCACATCTGCTGCAGGAGGAAGATTCTGATCTACGAGCATTGCAGAATGTCATGAGGAGTAGTTCTGTTGCTATGTTCCTTTAGCAGAGCCGTGGTACCTGCTTTCCCCTAGGTCCCTAGTTTCTTGGCCATCTAGCAGTGTGAGGGATGGGTTCCTTCTCATGGAGTGTATTGTGTCTCTAGGGGATTTCCAAGTGTGCCGATTTGTCTGTCTCCACATCTATATATTGCTTCTTGTGCTTTTCCTTTGGCTGTTTGTTTTTCTGTTTGTTTGCTTGCTTGCTTTGTCCCATTAAAGTTTGTTTACTATTTTCTTAGATGCCTGTTTGTTTTCTAATGAGAGGGTAGGAAAGGATGTGGATTTGGGTGGATGGGGAGGTGGGGAAGGGCTAGGAGGAGCTGGGGAAGGGGAGAATCACAATCAGAATATTTTGCATGAAAAAAAAAATCAAACAAACAAAAAAGCACAAGGGGCTAGGGAGGTGGTTCAACAGTTAAGAGCACTTGCTACTCTTGCAGAGGACTCAGGATAAGTTTCCAGCATCCACATCGTGCCTCCGTGGCTCATGACTACCCATAACTCCAGTCCCAGGGGATCCTCTTCTGCAAACACGAGGCACCCATGTGGTGCACATACATACATGCAGCCAGAACACTCAGACACATTTAATTAATTCATCAATTAATCTAAAACAGACAAAGGAAATGCATCTCCTGATACCAGTTCCCACAGCCTGCGAGGAAGCGTCCTCCACACCCGAAGAGCCCCAGAGGTTATGGAATAAGCCACATCCTTCTGTGGAGAAGGAGCTCCCCCTGACTTGCCTATATGAGTGGTGGGGTGCTTGACATATGCTTTATGTACTGTGAGGTTCTCTGTAATCCAAGCTTGGCCTTCGTCACAGTCGGCCTAGCGTAAGTGTGGCTCACGCTTCGTTCATTAGGTTTATGTGGACACTGGGAATCAAACCCAGGTCATCTGGAAGAACAGCCAGTGCTTTTCACCTCTGAGACATCTCTCCAGCCCCACATGGCCCACTCTTAATCCCCTTATTCCTCCTGACTCCATACCACACCCTCCTCCTCCCCCACCACGTTTTCATTTTGTCCTGCTTTTACCAGCATTTAGCAGTTCTGAGACTCCAAAGCCAGAATTCACTGCCCGAGACCAGGTTGCAGAAAATCCTTACAGTGACTGTCACAGCCTGAGGATTTCAGATAATGTCTCACAGTGGTGACTGGATCCCTGTGCCCAAATCAAGACTTTTGCCCTCCCTTTGCTTTCTCTTGATGGAACAGAGGCATGGAGGTCGGGGTTCTTAATCCATGTGTTGTACCTCAAAGGCCAAACTGCAGATGCGGAGAACTCATTTCAAGGGGGCTGGAGGTGGCTCAGTGGTCAAGAGGATGCGTTGCTCTTGCAAAAGACTCAAGTTCAATTTCTAGTGCCCACACTGGGTGATTTGCAACTGCCTGTAACACTAGTTCTAGAGGACCTGACTCCTCTGGCCCCTATGGGCACCTGTGCTCATGTACATAAACCCACACAAGGATACCCACATACACATAATTAAAAATAGTTGTTAAACTAAGTTCATGGAAAAGCAAGCACATATCATGGCATCACAAGTGGCCTTGGTCTTGGCCATCCACTCTCTTTCTAACCTCAGTGAAGCCATGCAGCCAGCTAGAATGGCTCAGAAAACTCAAATAGAGCCACAGCAAAATGGTTGGGACAGCCAGGCTCCCGAGCGGTCTGGAGTGTTTCACTCGGGATGCCAAAACAGCCTGCTTCCAGGGGAACTTTGTGCCAATCAAATTGCTGATTGTTCTGCGTGACAGAATTGTGTAGAACAAACAGCCCGCTTGGTTGATTTCTTTTGGAATGCGATGCCCTGATGGGAAGTCTGCTTCGTGGTCGACTCAATCTCCAGTGCTAACACGCAGCTGCCCAATTGTGTCCCTGTCCTAGCCCACCCCATGCCTGCTGTCACTCAGGAGCTGTGCAACCCAGGGTTACCTAACACTCCTTTGCCTAAGCACCTCCCACAGCAACTGGGAAAGGGGTCAGACCAACAGCCTGGCCCCGAGTTCTCCCTTCTTTTCCTTTGTTCTATTCTGTGGACTTCCTGCCTCCTACGGTCTGGGCCAAACACCCCCTTCCCTCCCTCCCTGCCTGCCAAACACACACCTCCTAAGCCCCAGGACAGGCTGCTTCTCCCTAGAGAGTAGTCTGAGCATCGTGCCCGAGACGCTGGAGAGTCACTGCAGAGGAGGGAGGCAGCAGGGAGACCACACAAGGAATTAACGTTCAGTATCACATCCACTGCATGCCGCCATTTATATCCATTACATCATAACTATTCCTCTCATTTCCAGACGAGATTGTATTTTGCAGATGAGGAAATCAGGCCACGGAGCCTGGGTTGCTCTTGAGTGCTGGCCTCCCAGAGGCAGTGTACAGAACCAGACTCTGGTTGCCCTGCTGTGCCCTTCGCACCTGAGTACCCTCAGAGTCACAGCAGAGGGCCAGCTGCGACCTGATTGGCCTCATCACTGCCGTGATTAAGAAGCAGGGCTTTCTGGGCACAAGGATTCATAGTGTCCTAATTTGTTTATGTGCGTTTGGGAGGAAATCTAAATTCTCAGCACTCCAGAGCATTCCATATGTCATCCAGTCACACTCCTCCTGTCCTTAAGGAGAGACACATAGCCCCGTGTGGTGGCACACACCTGTGGCGCTATTATTGCTCAGGAGACAGAATCAGAAGCATCTTGAGTTTGAGGTCAACCTGAGCTACAGGAGAACCAGTCTCAATCAATCAAGCAATCAGTCAATCGTTCGGAAGTGCATGCTCTCTGTTTTCTTCTTTAGCAGTCATTAAAGCTCACCGTGTGCCAATCGTGTGTTCTGAGAGTGCCTTATAGTATGTGCGCTGTTCTAATAGGATGCTATGTCTCTCTTCCTATTCCTATTCCCTGTGTCCTAGTTAGGGTTACTATTGCTGTGACGAAACTCCATGACCAAAGCAGCTTGGGAAGGAAAGGGTTTATTTGTCTTACACTTCCACATCACTGTTCATCATCAACAGGAACTCAAGTAGGGTAGGACCCTGGAGGGAGGAGCGGATGCAGAGGCAGGCCACGGACGGGTGCTGCTTACTGGCTTGCTCCCCATATCATACTTGCTTAGCTTACTTTGTTATAGAACCCAGGACCACTTTCCCAGGGATGGTCTCCCCCATAATGGCCTGGTCCCTCCCCCATCAATCACTAAGGAAATGCCCAAGAGGCTTGCCTACAGCCTGATCTACGGAGGCAGTTTCTCAGTTGAGATATCCTTGCTCTTTCATGACTCTAGCCTGTGTCTAGCTGACATAAGAACCAGCCAGCACACCCTGTTGTACTTTAAGGCAGTGTTACTACCCCTACATTGCAGGTTAGAGAGTGGGACTTTGAGCAGTTAGGCAATTTCCCCAGGTCCCTAGATCCATCCTTTGAGCCCTAAGCCTCTCCTGATGGCCACTGTATAATGGAGCCGTAGACAAGCCGCTCCTGGGTGTCTCTGACATGCAGTCACCTCAGTTCTTCTTTGTCTCTCTTTTTCATGAGCCAGATCTGTCCCAGAGCCCCACCTGGTGCATTCCCACCAAGAGCCTGTGGTGTGCTGTAGGTACAACCCAGCCTTCAGGCATGTGGTCAGCTGCTGTGAAGCATCCGTAAGTACCCGCTCGTGATGTCTTAGCAATGACACGCTTGTGAGGTTGCCTGGCCCCGCCACCTTTCCGTTAAAGCGGAGCAGTGTGTTTCTAGAAACCAACAGTGGTGTGGACATTCACTTCTGCTCTGTTAATGATCCCAGATGATTTGGACAGTCTTCGCTCAGAGTCAAGTGGAAAAGCCTGCTGTCTCCCCAGTGGCTCCCAGTAGGAGTTCTTTGGGAGGACCATCCATCCCGAGAGTATTATATCCTCGGGATTATCTTGTATGTTCTAAAACAAATACTTCTCACGGATTGGTTGAAACGCTAATCCACTGTCTGCTCAGAGGACTTGGGGAATAGGCTCTAAGCCTACCTCAGAGGAGCCGTCCCTGGGGTGGGGACTGACTTCAGCCATCAAAACAGAGGATATTGGACTCCCTGGGGGAGGACTCTCATCCAAGACATCTCATTCCAGGATGGGCCTGGAAAAGACTAGAATCAAAAGCAATGGTGCTGAGGGAGACCTGAGGACTGGGAGGTTAGAAGGCACAGGAAATGAACACCGCTGTCACAGGTTCTTTTCCAGTGACTTCAACAAAATACCCCAACAAATGCAACTTCAGGGACCGGAGTGGGGGCTGAGGGGGTGGGGTGGGTATTTCAGCTACAGTCCGTTGTTGCCAGGAAGTCATCACAGCAGAAGCTGTAGACAGCAGGTCACACTGCCTCCACAGTCCAGAAGTGTGAGCATAGGTCCCATCTCATCCACTGTCCAGAAGTGTGAACTTAGGTCACACTGTATCCACATCCACAAGTGTGAGCTCAGTTCACACTGCCTCCACAGTCCAGAAGTGTGAACTTAGGTAAATCACACCCACAGTCCTGAAGTGTGAACTTAGGCCACACTGTTCCCATATCCAGGAGCATGAGTCCGGCTCTTCACTCAGTTCAGAACCAGTGCAAAAACCCATGCCTCTCACATTCAGGGTGGGCTTTCTTCCTACCTCAATTAACCCAAGCTTAAGAAAATCCCTGCAAGCCTGCCCACAGGCCAGCCTAAATCTTGACACTCCCTCACCGAGACTCCTTTCCCTGAGGAGTCTACATTGGTAGTTGACAGTCAACAGTATGGCACCTACCAACACTCTGGACATTGAACCTGCCCACTGTGAAACCAAACATTTCCGTGGTTGAAGCAATCTAGTCATGGCTATCAACTATACCTGTGCTAGCAGAGGAATACACTCAGTCTGGGAGTACACACACTTTCTAAGTAAACGTTTGTTTTTAAGATGTGCTTATTTTTATTTAATATGTTGGGGTGTTTACCTGCATGTATATCTGTGTCCCATGTGCGTACTGTCTGCAGAGGCCAGAAGAGGGTGCTGGATCCCCGGGAACTGGAGTTACAGATGGTTGTGAGCTGCCATGTGGGTGCTGGGAATGGAACCCCTCACCGTCTAAGCCATCTCTCCAGCTCCTCTAGGCGGTCCACAATGATATTTATGTCGCCAGACTTCTCCATGCAAATTTCCGCTGATTTGATAGCCATTGCCTCTAAGCCATCTGTCTTTCAACTTTTTATACAGGTTGTGAAAGTGTGGGACTTTGACACGGGAAGACAGGTGTCTGAGTTTATTGGGTGTCATGGCGTCACCTGTCTGACTTTTGACTCCAGCGGAAGAAGGTACGCCCTTTCTCTAGTGTCATGAGCTGTTCAGCAGGGTGACCTGGATCGTGTCATCCTAGTGGGGTAATCTTTTCCTAGGCTCGTTACTGGGGGCAGAGATGGCTGTCTGAAAATATGGAGCTACAACAATGGAAATTGTCTCCACACCCTTCAGCACGGCAAGTGAGGCTGGGGTTCTCCAGCAGGTGGTGCCCATAATGTATTGATGCACAAATGGGCATTTACCATAAATGGAAGGGAACCCAGTGAGATAGAGGCTACAATGTGTGTGGCATCTCCACCTCCCCTTTCTCTGTAGTTCACGTTATTTAATGTTTCTGAGCTTGCGTTTCATGGGGATACAATCACAGACATTAAATGTTGGTCTCTTAGAAATCTCCTGAACTGCCCCAGGGCTACTCATTCATTCATTTGCTATATTTATTCTTGATTTAAAAAAAATTCCCTGATTCTGGCCTGTCAACTGCTAAGAGAGCAGATATGATGAACATTCTTCAACTATTAAAGGGGAATACATAAATAAAGTCAAGGTGAAAGAAGGAGGATGCTCGTTCCCGAGTCTGCTTAGTCCTCCGTGTGACCACCTGCCTATTCACTCACTCAGTGTCCTGTACTTTTGGGTCCTGTAAGGAGAAGCCAGGCCTCTTCCTGTAGCCAATCAAGGGCAGACTCAGACAAGGAGGGAAGGTGGCCACAGATGAACAATGCTTTAATGATCCGGGTGACACCTGACCCTGGGCTGAAACCTAGAAAGTAATGATGACAACTGTTCTGGTCATCAGACACAGGAGGACAACATACAAAAGCTAAATTAGATGGGACTTAACACAGAAAAATGTTTGACGTAAGATGATAATGTATTTCTAGATGGACATCAAAGTGAGGTCTGTGACTGTACCTACATGGAGGTGAACCAAACTAGGTGAGTTTCACTTCAGTTTGAGTTATATTTAGATAGGACCCTTCTTTTTCCTACCATAGTTGGGGAAAAAAGTTGTATTAGTTAGCTTTTTATCACTGTGAAAAAAATACCTGAGATCAGGTGTGTGGGGGGTGTGTGTTTTGGCTCATAGTTCCTGGGGTCTCAGTCCGTCATCAGCCGAGGTCTGCAGCAAGATGAAAACATTCTGGTAGGAGAGCAATGGTAAAGGAAGGATGCTCACCTCATGGTGACCCTGAAGAGAAGGGAGACAGACACAAAACCAACCATAAGATAAAGCCTTCCTGTGACCCACTTCCTCCAACTAAAACCCTCCACTTTTTCTTCTTTAGAAGACTTACGTATTATGCATGTGTATGCATGGCTGCATGAGTTTATATGGACCTCATATGTGCAAGTGTCCATGGAGGCCAGAGAGCCTAAGAATGATGCCCTGGCTCTGGAGTTACAGACATTTGGGACCCACCCGATATGGGTGCTGAGAACCAACTGGGTCCTCGGCAAGAACAGTTGGTGCTCTTAACTGTGATGATCACCATGTGATGATGGTCACCGTGTGATGGCCACCATGTGATGGCCACCATGTGATGGCTACCATGTGATGATCACCGTGTGATGGCCACTGTGAGATGGCCACCATCTGATGGTCACTGTCTGATGGCCACTGTGTGATGGTCACCTTCTGATGGTCACTGTCTATTGGTCACCGTGTGATGACCACCATGTGATGGTCACCATGTGATGACCACTGTGTGAGCCATAGGCTCAGCAGTTAAGACTGTTCTTGCAGAGGCCCCAGTACTGGGCTCCACTGACACTAGAGAGACACGTGGTGCACAGACATAGATGCAAACATAACACCCCACATCCATAAGATGAAACAATACTAATAAAATTTTTAAACATTCAAAGTAACAAATCAGAGTGGAAAAATAACTTCAACCACCATAAATCAAAGAATAAAAACACAGTAATTCCTTTCTGAACACTGGGAGGGTGAAGCAATCCTTGGACCATTTCTGTGGATAGGCTTGCCTCAGGGATTTAGACATGATCTAAAGATCAAGTAATTCCAGGAAGGCAGCTCCTCACAGAGGATCTGTAGACCTCAGAAATGATAGGATGGTCTGTTTCTGTCTCCTGATGCTCGAACAACGGACCCTAATTTATCAAATTACATTTCCCATGGTTCTTCATAGGCATTGGAAAAGTTCATATCCTTTTATTTATCATGTGGATAGGGCAGAGTTAAACCATACAGTTCATTCTATATAAAGGTAAACCCATGGAAGTTGAAGTGTTACAATGTAACATCTTGTTGCTGTCTTAGGTGTGCCGTAGCTGTTGGATGGGACAGAAGAATAAATGTATATTTTGTAAGTGAAATGTAACAAATGAAGATGGTTCAAAAACCATCCCCTAGGGTTGACTTTCCTATCTCTTCCCTCCTCCCTCCCTCTCATTTTTTAGTGTATTTTTATTATTTTAATAATGTGTGTGAGTCCCTGCATGTAGGTATATGCATGTACATATAGGTGTCCACAGAAGCCAGAAGCATTGGACCCTTTAGAGCTGGAGATAGAGACAGTTGAGAGTCCCCTGGCTTAAGTGCTGAGAACCGAACTCAGGTCCTCTGGAAGAGCAGCCAGGGAGTGCTCTTAACACTTCACCTCCGATCCATCTCTCCAGCGCTTTGGGTTTAGCCTGTGAAACGGCTCTGGGTCTTATTATGAAGGCAAAGTTATGCGGTGGATCCAAGAAGAGCTTGTCAGTTGACATATGATTTGCTGAAATGCAATCACCCAGACGTCAGGAGTGGATTGCTTTTTCTTCCCACTGGCACTTGGGGAATTTGCTTTGACATTTCAAAAATCTGCATCAGCCGTGGGGTGAGGGGTAGGGTTATGAAACGTGCCAACACCTTCTCCCTGAAGTTGTGAGTGTGTTGGCAGCTCACTTTATGGCTCGCACAATGTGTCCTGTTTGGCTTTGGATACAGGACACACCTCGTGATTTTCATCATTTCTGGAAGCCTCAACCCCGCTGGCAGGATGACCTGGTGAGCCGCGGCCCACTTTTTGGCCCTCAATCCACACAGTAGCACACAGTGGAGATCTCCTTCACTCAAGGGGCTACCCTGCATTTCCTGAACCCACCACACACGCTCAGTTTCCCAGAAGCCTCTGCTATGTATGGCAAGATTCCCACCCGTGTAGAACAAGGTGCACTGAGGTCCAAGCAGTTGCCTCCTCTCTGGGAAAGGTGATGGCCCCCAGTTTAAGTTGTGGTGTGGAGCCAGAGGGCCAGGTTCCAAGCCGCTCTCCATGAGGCCCCGCTGGGAGTCCCCATGCGCAGGAAGCTCAAGGTGGGGAGGGTGTGGGTTTTTGCCAAAGAAGCATTCATTTCCTGCATCTTCCTAGTGAGCCAAATTCTATTCCTGATGTCATGACGTTCCTGACTCGCTGTGGCTGGTTAGAGGCCCAGAGCTGGGGGACGGCTGGCAATGCTTGTTAGAGATCAGAACGTTCTGGGTGCCCTACAGCTTCCCAGGGATGAATGGCTTCCTTCAAAACTGTCTGGGCGCCTAGGCAATAAGACAAACGTACAGAAAACAAGGCCACCCCGCCCAACTATCTGCCACTGCCCCACCTACCTTATGTGCCCTACAAATATTCCAGAGGGCACATGTCACTAGAATACATACTTTATTGTCTTAGTCAGGGTTACTAATGCTGTGATGAAACACTTTGACCAAAGATACTTGAGGAGAAGAGGGTTTATTTGGCTTGCACTTCCACATCCCTGTTTACCAGTGGAGAAAGTCAGGACAGGAACTCAAACAAGGCAAGATCCTGATGACAGGAGCTGATGCAGGGTCCGTGGAGGGTGCTTCTTACTGGCTTACTCATATGGCTTACTCAACCTGCTTTCTTATAGAACCCAGGACCACCAGTTCAGGGATGGCACCACCCATAATGGGTTGGGACCTCCCCATCAATCACTAATTGAAAAAATGTCCCACAGGCTTGCCAACTGCCTGATCTTACTAGAGGCATTTTTCTTTCAACTGAAGCTCGCTCCTCTCTGATGAATCTACCTTGTATCAAAATGACATTAAGCTAACTAGTACATCCATGTAACTAAGCCTCCGTGGTCTGAAAAACCTTACCCAGTGCCCAATTTATAATACTTGCCCAGTGACGATGTTGTCATTCATTCAGCAGCCACTGAGTGCCTCTTGTGGGCCAAGTGTTGTTTCTGGGAGTTGCAATGGTGAGCAAGCATGGCCTCACCTTCACGGAGCTTACACTTCAGTGGGCGTGGCAGAAGTAATGAAGTTATACGCCAGATCCCCAGGGGAGCCATGGTATTTGGATATCACACGTGGGTCAGTGACGTGCACATGCATCCAGTCCTCCATCCTGCACACATATTTACCAAGCACTGGCCTGCTCATGCACTTAGTAGGCAGGCATAGAAGAGACAACGATGATTCTTGAGATGCTCCCAGACAGGTGAGGCACGGAGGAGAGAGGAAGCATGGAACCTAACAAATGAAGTGACAATAAGTGATAAACGGTCACGTTTCCAGAGCCACTAGCGTGGCTGCGACGTTATCTGGGAGATTAAAGATCACAAGGGCTTTTTCAGAAGGGAAAGGTAATCTTTATGAGGACCGAGAGGAGATGCTTGAGCGCAGTATGGAAGTATAGAAGCGTGGTGTCTGGAAGGACGGGGGAGAGTCTGATTGGCTAGCACATTAGAAGTGGGAGGGAAGATATGCTAATGAAATGTCTCAACAGAAGGTGCATGCTACAAAGCTTAACAACAGAAATCTATTTCCCTGGGTTCTGGTCCTGAGGTGTGGGGGGGGGGCAGCTTGGTCAGGTTCTGGTGAGGGCTGGTCCTGAGGTCGGGGTGCCAGCTTGGTCAGGTTCTGGTGAGGGCTCCCTTTCTGGTTTACAGATAGATAGTAACAGCTGTCAGCAACTCTTTGCTATGTCCTCAGACAACAGAGAGAGCATGAGCTGTGTGCCTCTTCCTGTTCTTAGATGAACCCTAATCCCACATGGGAACCACATCCTCATGAGCTCATATGTGGGAACCACATCCTCATGAGCTCATCTGACACCAATAGCCTCTCTACAGTTGGGGCAGGGCATGGAAAAGCCCAGACCCAAGTGCTCAGCACACATTGTGGGATGATAGGGTAGGAGTAGAAATCTGGCAGTAGAGGATCATGGGAAGGAGATAGCTGTTAGCCTTCTGTTTCCCGAGTCTCACATTATAATCTGGGTTCAAGCAGACAGAGCCTCTCAGGCAGTCAAGCCAAGTCCTCAAGGGAGACCTTGTGGCAAGTACACAGGAACAAAGATAGAAGGATATCTTAATACGGCTGAGTGCCACCAATTGCCATGACATAGTGAGCTCCCACAGTGGGAAATGGGAAGCATACATGGCCAGGGGCCCGGGAACCCTGCAGCACTGGTCTCCCCACACCAGTTTGGGGTTCTAGTCTTCAGCAGAGGCACCTGTGTCAAGCGCCTCCCTTCGAGAGAAGTCCATAGCTTCAACTCCCATTGACAGTTTCACCTCAGGAGGGCGGGTGGGAGTCCTGGGCTCCTCTCTACTCTGGTGTGTGGGTTTCTGGCTGGCAGGAACCAGACCTCCTTAGCCCCTAGCTGGGTTCTCTTGTCCACATGCAGCCTGAATGAAGACACCTTGTCGACGACTTACATGCTGGCGGGATGATGAACTAAGGACATGCTACTTCCCTTAGAAAGCTGGGGCCCTAGAGGCAATGGCCAAAGAGGGAAACACGGAACACAGTGATTGGCATACAGAGTTTCTGGCAGGAAGAGACAGAGGTCCCAGAGAACCCCCGTGCATCTGATTTAAGTTCCCGAAAGTTGCCTTATGTGAGATGGGATCTCGTTTCTCAGATCTGTCTTTCTTTCTTAGAACCATGGGCACAAAGAGGACATCCTTTGCGTGGCCCAGTGCCCACCTTTTCTTCTGGCCACCTCCAGTTATGATGGAGAGATAATAGTTTGGAATGTCGTCTCAGGCCACATGTACTGCAAGCTGAACCCTCCCAGTCCCATGGATGGCCAGGACCACAGAGACGGTAGGGAAGGGGCAGGCGCCAGAGCCTGTGTACACAGACCGCACCATCAGCTTGAACTTGGAAAACTGAAGGAGTCTCCATTTGGGGGCCACTTCCTGCTCGGAAGGGATTGGCCTTGAGTCATGTTTCCCTCCCAAAGCTGGGAGAAAGTTTAAGAGTTCAAAGGTCCAGGCACTATCTCTGGACGCTTGTCCATCAAAGTCTATCTCATAGTCTCTTTGAGGTTTGGTTTATCTGTTCCCAACCTGACGGACGCTCCCACTGAGCCCGCCCACGTTGCTGCCACCATCCTTTCTCCTCCTCCCCTTCTCTCTGTTATCGTCTACCTGACACATGCTTCTTCCACCCAGCTAGTAAGCCTGTTCCCCAAGTCCAGCCCAGGCACCAACTGTCCCCTCAACATTTCAGGCTTCCATACCGTCCTCATCCTCTGCCTCCTCTAGTGGCCCCTGACCCACAGATCTCCTACCTCAATCCGACCTTATTGCTTGAGTATTTGATTGCAAAACTTCACCCGCATGTGCTGGATTGTTTGCCTGGTGGTTTGCTTGGTTTTATTGTTGTTGTTGATTTGGTTTGAGACAAGGTTTCTCAGTGTAGCCCTGACTGTCCTTGGGAATCTTTTCTTTGCCGTTAAACTGAAATTAAAGTCACTGGCCAAGGATGTGATGCTGATGTTTCAGGAAGCAATTCTGATGCAAAAGCCCTGTTCACAGTAACAATCACTGCTCCAAGTTACCATGAGGCTGTAAACTGTAAGCAGTCGCTGTTTGAGAATCCCTTCTGTTACAGAAATACAAATCCAGCTATCGCCACAGTAACACTTCTACAAGGCAAAGTTTTTACAGACACACACACTCACAAACACTCTCATTCACACACGCACACACTGACACACACTCACACTCTCACTCACATACATGCATGTACCAACACCCACCCACATACGTGCTCACATTGACACCCACAGGCACGCACGCACACTCACACACATGCATGAACATGTATACTCTCACATACTTTCACACGTGTACTCTCTCTCTTTCTCTCTCTCTCTCTCTCTCTCTCTCTCTCTCTCTCTCTCTCTCACACACACACACACACACACACACACTCTCACACACACACGGCATACCCTTCCATGAAGGAGCAGCCTGGCGGCTTCTTAACAACCACACCAAAGCGCAGTGGTCTTTCTCACATGGGATTGGTGAGGAGGATGCCATCTTGTATGGAAAACTGTAGTTCTCCTCGGGAAAGGGGCTGGCAATGGTGTCAAGGCAAAGCTGGACTACATGAAATCATTATCATGTTTCAGCTGTTAATTCCTCTTCTGCATCTAAAAGAATTTGATTGTGAGAGAGACCAGGGGATTCCAACCAGGCCGAAGTTTAGGAAAGTTGTCACCTCTAGGATGGAGGAGTTTGCTCTAGGGAGGCCGTCAATACCTACCAGTTAGCTCTGTTTTCAGCCGGTTTCCCAGAAGCTTATTTATCCGCTTTCAACGGCGGGTCCCCAACACTTAAGAGTTAAACGGTCATCGTCATGAACAGCTGCCGTGGGTAGAGCCACGTGGAGAGAGGCACTTTGGGGCCGTTAATCCCTCAGTCTTCACAGCAAGGCCATGTAAGGGTCTCATGTGGTCCACCCTGTGAAGGAGAAGGTTGTCTCCATGTGGCAGATAGATCCTGCTCAAGTGCCAGGAAGTGAAACACATCCCCGGACTTCACATGGGAAAGGAAGAGGCTGGCATCCTGACCACACTGTGTACCTCTGCCACCATCCCTGGGACAGATGTGGGCAGGCGAATGGACTCCACCTCTGGACGTCTCAAAGGCCCACTTCCTATACCCTTATATTGAACATCGGAGGCTGTAAGCATGCGGTGACTAGCAGCCCCTTATTTATATGTTGCTCCCCATTTCCTCCCTGAAGCCCCCACCCTGGCCTGGCTCAGAGAAGGTCATGGAAGGACCATGCGTTGCCCAGGCTCCCTTTCCACAATCTTATTTGTGTTTCTTGGAGGCAGAGATTTGGGTGGATTCCTAAGATTTTTATTCAATGGCAAATATTTGAGCTTCTCATCCTAAGGGACACTGGGGACTAGAGATAAAGAGCCGCAGACCCTGGCAGAGGAGGGAGATCTGGGAATGTAGACCTAGGCTGATTTATTTGGGAATTGGTAGGGTCTGTTGAGTCCAGGTTTGGCACCTGTCCCCTCCACAGCGTCTTTGCTGCCTAGGCCATCTTCCAAGGGTCAGAGGAAACACAGCCCACTGGAGACAGTTCCCCCAGCTCTGTCCCCTCCTGCATGCACCAACAGGGTTTTGTTCATTTCTTGGGAGGTTTTGTTAGTTTCCTTCTGGGTCTCTGCTGCCGCTTGTCCCACATCCAGCACAAGGCTGTAGCTGTTAAGACCTGCTTAGATGTAGGTGGGAAAGAAACAGGAAGGGATGGGGGTCTCCAGGTCAGGAACAAATCTTCCCATTCGCTTAACTGTGAATCTGTTCTCCTGACACAGCCCACCGTGAGGTGAAGGTCTCTGCTTAACAACAGGTGTCCTCAAAGTTGCTCAGCCAAGGGCACTTTGGGGGAGTAGCTGGACATCCTGGGCTAATGCCTACCCTGACCCCAGGGCACTTGCCTGGGCTTCTCAGATCTCCCAGCCTGTTCATATATATAT